GGGTCTGTTTGGAAACAGCTTTAAACAGGTTACCAATGTGATGTCTGCGGTTCTACATAAATACAGGCTGGGCGATGAATGGATTGTGACCAGCTCTGAAGAGAAGGACTTGGGGGTGGTGGTGGACACGAAGCTCAATATGAGCCGGCAATGTGCGCTTGCAGCCCAGAAGGCAAATAACCGTATCCTGGGCTGCATCAAGAGAAGCGTGGCAAGAGGATCAAGGGAGGTGATTCTCCCCCTCTACTCCACTCTTGTAAGGCCCCACCTGGAGTACTGCGTCCAGTTCTGGAGCCCCCAACACAAGAAAGACATGGACCTGTTAGAACGAGTCCAGAGGAGGCCACGGGGATGATCCGAGGGCTGAAGCACCTCTCCTGTGAGGACAGGCTGAGAGAGTTGGGGCTGTTCAGCCTGGAGAAGAGAAGGCTTTGGGGAGATCTTATAGCAGCCTTCCAATACCTGAAGGGGGCCTACAAGAAAGCTGGGGAGGGACTTTTTACAAAGGCAGATATTGATAGAACAAGGGGTAACGGCTTTAAGCTGAGAGAGGGTAGGTTTAGATTAGACATTAGGAAGAAATTCTTTCCTGTGAGGGTGATGAGACACTGGAACAGGTTGCCCAGAGAAGTGGTGGATGCCCCCTCCCTGGAAGTGTTCAAGGCCAGGTTGGATGAGGTTTTGAGCAACCTGATCTAGTGGAAGGTGTCCCTGCTGATGGCAGGGGGGGTGGAACTAGATGATCTTTAAGGTCCCTTCCAACCCAAACCATTCTGTGATACTGTATGTTGCAGGGTGCTGCGAAAGACAGTGTCACTTCCCAGCTAATTAGTATTTGCAGCCATAAACTCCTCTGCTCGCCTTTCTTAGAGCTCACTTTCCTGCTGGGAATATAAAACACTGCCTCAGCGACACACACAACTGTGTGGAAATGCATACACGTGAACTCCCAATTAAGAGATAACTCCTGCCAAACATAAGTTGTTCTCATGAAACAAAGCAAACAGCAGTCGTATTAACAATCAATTAGATAGAGCAGCCATCTGATGCTGCCTGTTTGAAGAAGTCCCCAGCTTCCACCAGCTTTTGGCCATGCAAGAGCAGCTGAATAAAGTCTGTGTCACAGTCATCTTGACTCAGCAAAACACCCTCTTCTGCCTCTTGACTCAGGCATGCTTCTCCCTTTGCTCTAGTTCCTAGTTAAAGCTATAAATGTGGATAAATATCACGTCCAGTTTTAAATCCAACTGGGTCACCAAATGTTATGTTACACCCTGTTCTGCAATTAAACTACTCTGTGAAACACCTCAATTATAATTAAAGAAGCAATTATCCCCCTGTTAAAGGAACGGCAAATCACACATTTCAATGCAAAAGTTCATCTGGCAGCTTATGGCATATTAACCAATCTTGCATCTCATTGATGTTTTGATCTATAACCTATTGCAATGAGCTAATTTGATGTGACTTGGTATCTCTAACTGTATTTTATCATGTGCAGCACAATGCTGGCATCTTTCAAAGAACAAATTAAATGAGCTAAGTGGTTAATTGCTAATAACTCTGCTATTACCATTGGAGCGTCACAGAATGGGACCCTTCCTGCCTTCTCAGGTTAGGTTTGAAAAAATGCACACACAGAAGAGAGTAGAATTGAAATAGATGTTTCTGTTGACACTGGGGAGCTGTAACTGTCTGTTTTTCACTGAGAACTGGCATCTCCCACAAAGTCTGGCAGGTCAGACTGCTCACCTCACCACCTTATCCTATTTTTCTCCATTGAGGAAAAGCAGAAGGCAGGGAAGCATGGAGCTGTTGTTTGTTTTTATGTCCATTCCTGTTTGTTTGTGTGTTTAGTTGGTTTTTTTTTCCACAGCCGGAACATGTGAGTTTGCCCGTTCAGCCCTCAGCTATGTGAGGAAACCTCAGTGCTGGTCCTGTTGCTGCGTGCCTGGGCCATGCATTGGAAAAGACAAAACATTTACCCATAGAATGTGTAGGCAGATTCAGCTTGATACAGGCTATAAAACTGGGCGTGGGGGAGGGCATGACATGGTGCAGCTGGCAATGACGCTGGTCAGGGCTGGTGGGCAGGGGTGTATGGCCACAGAGAAGCTAATCTGGTTTTCCCAGAGACCAAGGAAACCCCTGGTTCCTTACTTTGTCCCAGGGGAACAAGCAAGGCGTACTTTGATTTGACCTCAGGCTGTGAGGCTTGTGTATTTTAACACACCTTCTATTTGGGTCTTGGTTTGGTTTTTTGTTTTTTTCCTAGTGGCCATGATCTAAGCCTACTTTAATGCTCATCATGTCCTAGAGGATCTGAGGGACTGGTAAGTGCTGCCTTAAAAGCTTTGCCTGCCCTTCTCTATCTTTGTCATTCTTGCCCTCTGGAGCAGCCGTATGATGCTATGAGGTTCAGTAACAGCAAGATCTGCTCTAGCATTGATCTGTAAGAGCTTGACACAGTTAACTGCAATTAAATATGCTGGGAATTATAAGACCAAATTCCCCAGCTACTGAAAAGAAGACAGAATGTATCCCTGAGCATGGTTGTCCCCCCCACTTTGAAATATCAGGAAAAAACAAAATTAAGGGAGAGAATAAAATCAAAGATAAAAAGCAAGGGGAAGATGCTGGGACTCTGGATTCCAGCATTATATTACCCCAAATATGTATTTTGTACAGTTTCACAGCCTAAGCTTTTCTTCCTTGGTGTTAAATTCAGTGACTACTTCAGAAGCCAGTAAGTGGGGAAAAAACCTAAAACAAACCACAGTGCCCAGAGTGGGAAGAGTCTGAGCTCACCAAAGCATTTGGAAATGCTGCTCACAGCTGCAGCATATGCATTACTCTGCTCTACTTGGAATCAAAGCAGTCTTTCAACAAGATGGAAAATAGCCTCAGCCTGCTGCCTGCCTTCTCCCAAGTCCTTTCTTACTTAGTTACCTGTATCATCATATCAGAAACTTCTCCGAAGAAATAAACAAAGTCTTAAACAAAGAATTCAATTCATCTCTAAATTAAAATAATCGTGTAATCCTTCAACCCACCAAGTTACCTTTCATCTTTCCATTTTTTTATATTTATCTTACCAGCTTCAGCAAGTGGCTGTAATAAAGTGTCACATTAAGGTATTCATATTCATTAGTGTTCAGGTCTTTGTTCTTTTAATAGTGTTGGAAAGAATCTACAAAGAGGCTGTATTAGGCGGCTGTCCAATCTGGGTGTTTGATCTCCTTCTGACTTCAAACGTCAGAAGAAAAAAAAAAACAACATTGAGAACGGTTCTTTTGAATGTCAGAAAGGGAGTATATGACTTCTGAGCTTGCCAAGTGTTAATTGGTGTCTGCTCCGACCACAGTACGAATAAAATTCAGAGCCAGTTAATGTACAGTCATGAATCTCAGCTATTGACAGAGTGAGCCAGGATACCAGAAGGCAGGAAAAAGTGCAACTATTTTAAGAGGAGCTCACAGAGGATCCTTTCAGAGATCACTTTCATGCATCATGTAAAATCACGCTGTTTGGGTCCCAGCCGCCTGACCGGGCATTACAAACCTTTCCAAGAGAATAACTGGACTGGCGGCTGAAATTTCAGAGGTGGTTGTAACACTGCACTCAAGACAAACTACCTGTCATCATAAATCTCTGTTTCTAGCAAAAGTAATGAAGTGCCCCAGTACCACCCTGCACCTCCAGAACAACAAACATACCCCATTGCAAACACTCCTGTCATGCCACAATGGCAAGTTGATTTGATGCAAAGAAGCACCAGAAAGGAAAATAAGAAATTGCTGCTAAGTACCCGAGGAAAGCTAGCTGATCTATATTACAGTTGTCAGCAAGCTGGCTTGGCAGACCTAAATGCTCTTTACAGTTTTGGGGATCTTAACGGGGAAAGAAAACAGCCTATGGAAAATCAGAAAAGTCTTCCATGCTAATTATTCCTTCTGATGTTTGTGGACACATTTTTGCAATTCTGATTAAATCTAAACTTGGGTTAGATGGGGAAGTAACACTTTAAGTTACTTAATCTCCTGAGAAATCAGTCATCAGCGCTGAGTGACAACCACTTTGCTACTTAGCCATGACAGTCTAACTTACCCTAATGCAAATTGGCAACAGTTTCTTCTGTGCTTGGCAGAGGGAAACCATGGAGAATTCAGATAGGAGAATTGCTGTCATTAACAATCAATTTTTCTTTTAACAGCTGCAGCAGATTTAGGATTTCAGAGACCCTCCCGTGACTCAGAGACCACCCTCCTGTGAGCAATGAGACTGAAGCTGGAGCCACCACTGCACTTAGGAAAGCTCCTGTTCACGGTGTCACCCACAGCTGTCAGTGGGCACAGATTTTGCTGAAGGGCAGGTTCACTCCTGCCAGGTGGAGGGCAGGCTACCCACTCTGGGTTTACTTCAATGCAGGTAGGCAAACTAGATAAACACCTGAAGATGGATTATTAGGCAGACACATCCCCTACTTGCCCCCACCTCATACTGCTTCACCTGGGAGGCCATACTGGACGACAGGACATCCTCTCATGCTGAGCTGGCTGGCTGGTGCACACATGAACATGTGCACAAACACGTGAGGGAAATATAATCTGGCAAACTAAAAATTAAAACGTCTTTATATTATGTTTGAAAGGTGCCTCTCAAAATAAGTGAAACGTTTTCTTCTTTAAAAGGAAAAGGAAAGATAGTAGGCTGGTATTAATATGCTCCAGCAGCTATGTGTCCTTTGGATGCCAGATATAACTGTGATTTTTGAATGGGAAGAAAAAACTGAAACCAAATGGCCTCCAGCTCTGCCCAGCAAGGCACCATCATCCAAAGGCATTAATCAGTTCCCAACCAGTCCTGTCTACCAGCAGCAGTCAGTCAGCTCTCTGCTACCACCCATTCATCATGCTATGCCCAAACTTATTCCACTATTAGCCACTTATCAGGCCTTCGTTAGGATGTCCAAGTGCCAGGACACTGCTGTTGCTGCTCACCTCAGCTACTGGGATGCCTTCAGGGGGACGGCACTGGAGTAGGACCTCTTGCTCCAGGGACACTTCTTTCCCCAAGGGCTCCTGCTCGAAAGTTTTCCGGAGATCTGGGGAAGGAGAAGAAAAAGAATCAGTAGTATTAACAGCTGGCCATTTAAATTACATTTGATTGCCATACTGCATAAGATGCGAGAGGTCCTTCTAAACAGAGAAAATAGCACTTCTGCTCCCTGGAAAGTGAAACAACTGAAAAAGACTGGGACATGTTTTCATTTCATTCCAACATTAAGCGGTCAAAGGTTTCATAGTGGATTTATTATTTATATTGTAGTAGAGTATGTGAACCCAGAAAGGATCCAAGGCCTCCCTGGGGAAGGTCATTTCCAGACACAGAACAAAAAGCAAAAGTTCCTTCTTCAGATAATTTATCTTTGGTAAACTATGCCAGTGAAGTACAAAAGAAAGTTAAGGAAAATTACATAAACCTGTAAAACTAAAGCACATAAGCTGAGTTGCCTTGAACTCATGGATGCAAGTGTTCATGCTGTGATTTAATGTACTTCTAGTTTGTAGGCATTAACTTTACAGCTAATTTGTCTGCACTTTATCATTATTCCTGTAGGACAAAATAGATAATAATAATAATCATAACATGGAGCTGAAACCATGCTTGGATCCCTGCACAGCACTACAGAAATGTAGCAGGCAGAGAGGGCATCATTGAATGTGCCTCCAAACATCAGACCAGTTCATCACACTACACAACGGTGCACTCTGGCTTTTTTGTATGCTTCTGTAATATCTTTGCATTGGTGGCAAAATGGACTTGAGAAGTTCCCTCCTTACCAGTGGTTCAGTATTTCTACCACAGACTAGCACCCTCTCTGCTGTGCCAGGGAGAATGGGGCTTTGGACAACCAAGCATTCAGCCCCAGTAATGACGGGATCCTTCTCCCTGCTGCTGGTTCCTGCTGCAAAATGGACATGGGGCCATATTCAAAGTCACATCAGAGAGTTTAAAAATAACCTTGCAAAAAAGTTATTTTTATTTTACTTTCTATTCTGAAGTCAGACCAGTTCCATATGCCAGCTCAGCGCAAGGCTGCACAAATACTTGTGTCATACTGGAAACAAGTCATGTGGGAACAATTTAAAAGCCAAGTATTTCATATTTTGAAGCTATAACCTGCGGCTGTGTTGGAAAACAGATCACTGAATTGAACCAGTGTACAAAGAAAACATCCAAAGAGTTATTTTTCATCTAGATTACTTCCAAGATCTGATTTACAGCTGACCCCACAAGAAACTGCATCAGCACTAGCAAAAGGCAAAACGTGGGACAGGTGAATGCACAGACAGAAAAGGAGATGGGGTGTCTGCCACCCAAATCACTCCTCTGAAATTCACCTTCCAGTAGCATGAGATCTCTGTCACTTAACCTATATCAGGAAAATGTGGTTGTTCAAGTACCTGGAATTAAATGTCAATCAAATTGTACCATGGAAAAGCTCTGTCAAAGCTGGAGATGCTGATTTTAACCTAAGCTGATAGTGTGTAAACTTCTAATGTCCTTAAACCCATGCATTTCCCAAGTGAAACTGAGGCATCTTTGTTCTCCCTCTGCACCACAGGTACAAGCTCAGCGACTCCAAACCCCACACCCTCCCCATCACTGGCATACCTGCTCCCTCTGGCACACAGGGAGGGGATGCTGAGAGCCCCTCTGAAGGATGGGATTTATGGCCACAGTTTAGGGCACAGAAAGATAAGCTTTGGCAGATCTTACTGAGGGAATGTAAGAAATTCCTGCCCCCAGCTGTCTGCTTGTTTGGGGGTTACCATCTGTCAAAAGGAAGCACATGCCAATGTCACAGCTACCTCACTACAAAATCCACCATTTTAACCCCGGTTGTTAATGTAAGGGGTTTTAACCTACTACACCAGGTAACTTATGGCAAAGAGGAGGAGCAAACAACTGGAAGTGATAATTTCTTAGGATGGCATTTCAAGCTTCACCAGACTGTGTCTGTCAGCATCCTCATCATACTGAAGTTATTCCAGGCCAGTAAGGCTAGTACATGTGAGTGCAACCACAGCAAGACAACTGACCAGATTAGGTCAGTCTCTGACGCCTGTACACAGCTCCCACCACATTGCCGACTCCAGCAACACCAGCCCACCACCTTCATCCCACCCTCTTTGACAGTTTAACCAGGGGACATTTGGGTTGTACATCTCAACTTCAGTAAAACCAAAACCCTCCAGATGCCCTGCTGGTGGGACTCATTCCAAGAACAAAATGCTGAGTTTTGATTTGCTGCACGTTACATATAGAGATGAACAGCTCTTTCAGGAGCTGGTAGGTTTCTCAGGACACAACACCCTTCCTTTGGCCCACACTCCTCACACATTCTGTGGGCTTGGTACATACCCTGGGCACACATAAGGGCAGGTTAATGCATGGAATCATAGAATCGCCTGGTTGGAAAAGACTTTTGAGATCGAGTCCAACCATACCTATCCACTATTCAACCATATCTTGGAGCAGCCCATCTAGCTGTCTTTTAAACACCTCCAGGGATGGTGACTCAGCCATGTCCCTAGGCAGCCCATTCCAGGCCTGATAACCCTTTCAGTGAAGAAGTACTTCCTGATATCAAATCTATACCTCCCCTGGAGCAACTTAAGGCCATATCCTCTTGTTCTATCGCTAGTTACCTGGGAGAAAAGACACAGAGCTGCATTGCTACAACCTCCTTTCAGGTAGTTGTAGACAGTGATAAGGTCTCAGCCTCCTCTTCTCTAGGCTAAACAACCCCAGTTCCCTCAGCTGTTCCTCATAAGGCTTGTTCTCCAGCCCCTTCACAAGCTCCATTGCCCTTCTCTGGACATGTTCCAGTGCCTCAATGTCCTTCTTGTAATAAGGGGCCCAAAACTGGACACAGTATTCAAGGTGCAGCCTCACGAGTGCCGAGTACAGGGGGAGGATGACTTCCCTGGTCCTGTTGGTCACACTGTTTCTGATCCAGGCCAGGATGCCA